AAGAGTTTCTCTGCATGGATATAAGCCAGAATATAATAATTCAACACATAAGCAATATACACCTTTACCATAGCAAAAAATTGTAAACAAACTCAAAAAAATACAAAAGTACGTAAACCATAAATTCTAAGTTTTCAAATTAACTACCAACTAAATGATATTCTAACATCAAGTAGACACCTAAATCATCCAATCAACACATAGGAAGACAAGAAAATTTAAATTCATTCTCAACTTAGCAAAATATCATACCTAAAATAATTTTTCACAAACCAAGAGAGTTGTGGTCTCTTTATAACCGAACTGATCGATGAGAATGTAGCCCTTGTTGAGAGGAACAACTTCTTAGAAAGAAGTCTTGCAAGAATCTTAGTCTAGGAATGAGTTTTGGTGGCTTGAAAAACCTAGGGTTTTCTTCCTTTTTCCTCAAAAAATGTGTACTGACATTTTTCAGCCCAAAAACTGATATTTTTACACTAAAAGGGCTGTATTTATAGTAGAGGGACAAAGATGCAAAATAACCCTTTTGCCCTTAATAAATTCAGGATCCCGTTGCATTACAGTTCGTCCTAAAACGCCTCAATTCGACATTTTATTTTAACCAAAGTTCTTAAAATTATTTTACATGAAAATTTTCAAAAATATATATTTTCGCTAGTAGCTGGGTTTGGGCAGTCTCACTTAGGCCGTCCGTGATACTCTTTTTGTCTAATTTTTAAAACTATTTTCGTTTAAGTCCAAATTCGCACAGTAGGTATATTTTAACATTCTAAACATGTTTATCTTTTATGACATACTCAAATTATACTTTTAAACATGACTTATACCTAAATGATACAAATGTTGTGCCCTACTGACAAATAGTGCACGAATAGTACCCTACCGACAAAACTGAAAAATTTATCCTCACTTGTCAAATCTCTACATCCTTGGTTTGGGTAAGTTGTTTGGGATTGAATTTTTGTTGGTTTTGAAAAAATTGGCCGTATGTTTTGAAGCAAAGAATCTCATCTACAGGTGATTCAACAATCCTTTCTGCTGTGAAGGATTGTTGAATTGTGAAGTAGGACTAAATAACTAAAATTTAAAATACCCTCTACAGTAAAAATTGTAGGGTTTTTATCTTCATTCCCCTCCACAGAAAAATCCCTTCTACTCGAGCTTGTTGCTAAGAATCGAGTCTGATTCTTCAATGGAAGTAGCAGATTTGGGGTCCAGGCTCCACTGCTCAAATTTGCACATTGTTGTCCATGGAAGGGGTCGATCTGCTAATGGATAACTGGTGTTTGGATCACCATGTTTATTACCTTGAACCACATACCCATTTGTTCTCTCTCTCTTTGTCTCGCCCTTTCTCCGTCTGGAGGCTTAGCCGAATGAGTGGGTCTGTCTCTCCACCGATATAGAGAGAGGGTTCCTAATTGTTTAATGAACAACTTGTGTGCTATTAATTAAATAGTGGATTTGGGTTATAAAAAAGCTGATATGGACTGCTTTTAATATAATTGTAAAAAATAGATTTGGGGGTTAGTAATTGTTTAATTAACAAGATTTGGTCTATGAATTAATGAGAGGATTTAGGCTACAAATCTCTGTTTTGGGCTTATTGTTACAAATTTGTTAAAAATAGATTTGGGCTATTAATTGATGAAAGGGTTTTTAACCAACTTAAAATCCAGTTTATACGATCTTTGGTTCGGTAATTTTGCATTTTACCCCTTATGTTCAGAAATTAGCACATAACTCTCTTATACTTTTGAACTAAATTGATACTGTTAGAAATTCTCACCCAATTGACAGTATGTAGCATGCAAGCACTTGATTTGAGAGTAAGTGTGTGAAAATGTTTGGTTTAAGTCAACTTTGAATCAAAGAATTTGGGTTTCATTAAAAAATCACATTTGTTCTGTGGTGTTGATCTTATTACATCTTAAATTTTTAAGATCTTAATAATTTTATGTTCATTCATCTGTTTTCTTATAGATGAAATCTACAAAAAAATTAATTTTTGTATTAAAACAACATATTTTAAATTGACATTATTTGTGCTATTAACTCATGCAATAATATTAAAATGCCCTAAATTTCATGGACAATAAAATGCATTTCGGTCATTGAAAAAATATAATATTGTTCAGATTAATTTTGCTATTTATTGAAAAAAACAATTAAGTTTTTATTTTGCTTTTGTGTTTGTTTAAGTGCTAAATGTGTGTTGTCATTAATCTCCCAATTGGTGGTGTTGTTGTAGTCCGTGACTTAAAGGAGGCAATAACTATGTTTGTCCGTGCAATTAGTATTGATGTTGCAATCTGTAACTTAAAGAAAAAAATTTTTGAAGAGTTGTTAAAAGAAGCTTGACCTTTCCATAAGTGATAAGCGAATATGTTGGTTCATGACTTGGATTTTACTAACCTTTTTGGCGCCATGCATGAGGCCGAGAAGACATAATTTGCTAGAGGAATATTAAACAGTGTTATTTGAATACATCTACTTGGATGGAGAATTAATTTGTATTATGTAGAAAGTTGTAAGAATATACATGCGTATGATAATGAAATTTACGCATTTTAACTTTTTTTATTTGTTTATCAATTTTAAATATTTTTTTGGTGAATTTTTTGTGATTATGTGTGTTAGTTAATTGTGCACTTAATCTTACATGTCAAGTTCTAAAATTAATAGGAGTATTTATCATAAGGTAGTATGTTAAATTAAGTTAGAAATTCCATGATAAAAAAAAAAAAATTATATTTTGGCCAAATTTCATTCTATTCCGGCATCAATAATTTAATCCAAACATTGGAATGGAATGCACATTCCATTCCAAGACTTAATCCAAAGTTAATTGCCAAATATAGGAATGGTAATGTTTATTCCATTGCATTCTCAATGTTATTCCATTCTCATGTCGATTCCATTCCTATTTAAAGGTAGGGTTAATTGTACTAGAGGTCTCTAAAGTATGAGGTTTGTCTCATTTTGGTCCCCAATATTTCAATTGCATCATTTTAGTTCCTGAAGTATTGAATATATTTTTATATAGTGTTTCAAGCAGACAACGTCCAGATTGTTAACGATTTTTTTATCATAAACTTGTCACGTAATAGTTAAATATAGACAAAAAATAATTTTGATAGCTCTTAAACAAAATTTGGATAACTCTTGACAAATAAATGTGTAATATAAGTAATTTTTGACCAAAATTTAGATAACTCATAATCAAAAATGTGTAATTTAAGTAGGTATTTAACCAAAATTTGAGTAGAAATTTAGTCAAGAATTGTCTAAATTATTTTTTTGTCCACATTTAAATATCATGTGACAAGTTTGCGATAAAAAATTATTAATAATCTGGACAATGTCTGCTTAAGGAACCATATAGAAGCATATTCAATACTTCAAGGATCAAAATGATGCAATTGAAACATTGGGGACTAAAATAAGACAAATTTCATAATTAGGGACCTTCAGTGCAATTAACCCTTAAAGATATTTCTGCAAACCAAACGCAACGTAAGGATTTGGAAGTCTCAGTTGCATTGGCTGGTACTTAGCTGCTTCCCTTTTGCTGTCATTCATCTTTGAAATTGAAGAAAGACATGAACGAAGCTGTGCAAATAGGTCTCACATTTGAAATGTGAGCACCATTATGCTTAATGTTACTGGAGCACATCCTATGAAAAGGAGCTACATCAAACCAATCAAATTACACTTGTCTATCAGGAACCGAATAAACCGCTGATTTGTTGTGTTTGTGGCGGTTTTTTTTTTTTTTGGGTGTTTGGGGGTGGGGGGGAGAGAAAATAAAACCTAGCAGGATACCCAATTAACCCACCTCATCAATTTCAAAACCCGTACCATGACATTCTAAGCAAAAAATCATATTGAGACATTATATACAAATAGGATATAATACATTATCAGTCAAATTCATCGTCAAAATGAAGCATATAGGATTGAAAAGACCAGGTCTGCACTATTTTCTGAATGGCAATAAGGCTCAAGTCTGTATCTGACCTACGTTTCCATACTAAACATTCATTTTCAGTGCAAGAAAGCGAAAAAAGCACACAATTTCTTTTTCAGCTCGGTATAGGCTTTTGTCCCATTATGTAGCTATATCAACTCAAGGAACTAGTCAAGTACACAAATTCTAGAATATAAAGAAATTAGGAATGTGATTTTTAGCCTAATTCCAATAGAAGACTGGACTAAGATCCTTTAAAAGTCAAACTTGAACTCCCAATTCAAACCATGCATGGACAAATTTTTCAACGTTTATCCTCTAAAAGTTCCCTCAGCTGTGGCTCATGCAAAATTTCAAGCCAACTTTGTTATTGCAAATGTTGAAATGCATAATGTACTGCACTGATACAAACATGGTTAATTATAATTCCAAACATACAATCGTCACAGATTTAGGCAGCAGGGTGGAGAGAGGAAGAAAGAGAAAACTAGCAGGATACCCAATTAATCCACCTCATCAATTTCAAAAGCCTTACCATGACATTTGAAGCGAAAAACTAATAAATCACATTGAGACATTATATTCATAGGATACAATTCATTATCGGTCAAATTCGTCATTCAAATGAACCACATAGGTTTGGAAGGAGCAGCTCCGCACTATTTTTCGAATGGCAATAAGGCTCAAGTCTGTATCTAACTGACGTTACCTGCCTAAACATCCATTTTCAGTGCAAGAAAGGAAAATGAACACAATTTCTTTTTCAGCTCACTCTAGGCTTTTGTCCCATATTGCGACAACTAGTCAAGTACACACAAATTCTAGAAAATAAAAAAATTAGAAATGTAAATTTAGTATAATTCCAATAGCAGACTGGACCAAGGTCCTTTACATGTCAAACATGAACTCCCAATTCAAAACATGCATGGACACATTTGTCGATGTTTAACCTCTAAAACTTTCCACAGCTCATGCAAAAATTCAAGCCAACTTTGTTATTGAAAATGTTGAAATGTGTATGAAACAAGGACTAATGTATGGTAGTGATGCAGACATGGATATAAACATCGACAATTATAATTCCAAACCTACAATCATCACAGACTTTCTTGGCTTGGAATTTGGTCTTCCCACTCAAAAATCTGTCAGAAGTGTAGGACACAGAAGTCTTGTGAAGGCATCCACTTACCTCTTCAAGAATTTCTCAATGCTAGCAGTTAGAGTAGTTTTAGGGACAGCACCGATTACTGCATCTTTTTTCTCGCCATTGACGAATATCATGATTGTGGGGATACTTCTTATTCCATATTGGGTTGCAATTGAAAAACTATCATCAGTATTCATTTTAAAGCACTTGAGCTTTCCAGCATATTGCTTTGACAGTTCACCTATTACTGGATGAAGCATACAACATGGCCCACACCAAGGAGCCCAGAACTCTACTAGTACAGGACCATCTGCCTGGAGCACTAGAGATTGCCAAGTCTCATCAGTGACCATGGGAACTGCATTTTTGAAAGCCAAGAAAACAGTCATTTCCGTTTCATTTGTAGAATAGAGATGTGTGATTGTCCAATTAATTTAAGACCAAAAAGAAGCCTTATTGTTTTAAAGTAGAATTCTATGCATAATTCTCGATCATGTTCGACTAAGTCAGACTAAATTCATCACCCAATCATTAGGATACCAAAAAAATGAAAAATATTTCAGCATCAAATAAATGATGTCATGGATATTTTGTACCTGCAGTAAATTCCAATATAAGCTTATTAGTGGTTTCCTTATATGGTTTCTGATAAAATTAAGTACCTTCAGAATCCAAGAATGGCTTTTTACCCTCCCAGTTCTGTCATTCTCCGTTCAACACCCTCTGGTCCAGAGATGGCATTGCAAGCTCAATCAGCAGAAATTGAAAATGATTATTTTTAATGAAACTTATTTAATTTTTACTGAAACTTAACATAAAAAAGAAAGAAAATTATACAGGAGGATGAAATGAATTATTGTATTTCAGAAAGCTTACTACACTATCTATGGAAAATGATGATTACTCACCACTATGGCAGTCTAAAAATTCATATTATATTATTAATGATTATATATTTTCCTTGTCATACAGTAATGCTTAAAGAGAGTTATAAACAATTTGATATAAGATATAGATATTTGAAGTGTGTCCTAATTGTGGTCATATCCTACTTTTTTTAGAATTTCATGTGTCTACGAGTTTGTATCATGTCGCATCCTTATTCTGCGCCTACCAAAAGATCAAGGGTTAGTTACAAAATGCCCCCTCCAAGTTTTGGTCATGTTGCAATCAACTCCTCTGGTTTTAATTTCGACAATGTACCCCCTTAACATTTGAATAATTTTCAATTAATTCCTACAATTAGTTGGCTACCATTAAAAATGATGGAAATTTACCATAAAAAACTTACGTGATCTAAAATTAATCAAAAGCTCACAACCGCCTTTATCTCAAAATTTGTTGTTAGAATAAAATTCAAAAACAAAAACCCTAATTCTCCATACAAAAAACTGGTGAGTTCCTCCGGTGAAAACAACTCCTCCTCCTCTGGTCACCCCCAAGTAACTAAAATTCCTCCTCTCTCTCTGGTTAAACCCAACCTTCCTCAACTGGTGATACTCAACTCCCTCCCCCTCTAGCAAAAACGAAATCCACCCATACCCCACCTCGAATAAATGTACTCCCCTCTTTCCTCCGGTGAAACCTAAACCAACCCCCAAGCCTACCTCCAGCAGTAGCCCCAAACAACCCAACCCCCATAGAAATCTATCCTCTACAAGGCAACACCCATCTGGAGAGAGAGAGAAAAAAATGAAAGAGGAAATGAAGAGAAATTGTTGGTGATTGTAGTCGATTCAAATCATTGCACACCCCACAGTTCACTCGCAATCTACTGGGCACAGAACGACGTTGCTTCGTGATTCTCACCCGGTTCCTGAAGATGTGCTCTGAATTGGGTCCTGATTCTTGTAAAGAATTAACCAATACTTCTCATTGTTTCACACCTCTTCTGCAAAAAACTAGGGTTTGAGACCCCCCCCTAATTGACTGCTAATTTTTATGGTAAAGGTTTTTGTTTAGCTTGACCAGGCAATTGGGTCCACTTCTATGGAGCTTTTCAAATGGTGGGTTTTCTTTAATGGGGGGACATCTCCGAAGCAGTGTTGGGGTCACTGCTGCAACTACAAAATTATATTTCACCAAAGTTGGAGAATTGTGTTTGATTGATTTGCCAAAGTTGGGATGAGGATGGGTACAAAGAGTATAAAAAATATAATTAGATGTTGGGGGCATTTTGGGAACTTTATATTTTTCACCTACTCAATTAATTAATTTGGTCTTAAAAAAATTTTAAGGGGATAAAATGTTGAAATTGAAACTAGAGAGAGTTGATTGCAACATGACCCAAACTTGGAGGGGCATTTTTGTAATTAACCCAAATATCAATGTATCTGAATTGTATTATGCTCCTTTATTATTTGAACTAAGGCTTGCTCACCGAGGTACAGAATCAATTAATCTCGATTCTCTGATCTATTATGGTCCTCCACTTAATTGCACTCACGCTCAATGGCTCATCACTCAAATGGGAGAACTTCATCCATCACCAAGTTGCCTCCTATATCCTGAGAGGGCTTACAATTTTAAATCAATTATCCACTATTTGTTGTTGGTGATTTCTCATGTACATCTTCCCCCGGCTTGTTAAGGCCTTCACATCGTCATTCTTAACTTCTTGCCATCTCATGGTCTTATGAACTTGTTTTCTCCAATACAGTCCAGTGGCAACAAACATTAACCCAAAGTCCTTCGTTGATTCTACTTCAAACTAAAGAGACTGAGAATCTTTAAATTAATCCCATCCATAGAAAACACCCATTTTATTCTCCTTTTTTATTACCAACCAATAGTCAACTTTATCTCAAAGCAAACTTAACTCATATTCTCTAACATATCATAATTTCTTTTCGTCCGCATTTTAGTTAATGCGGCTTATTTATGTAAGCTTATATAAAGTAGAAAAAAACTATTGATGTCGGAAATAACACTTAATACCCAAAAACAGTCGGAAATAGCACTTAATACCCAAAAACAAACATATTTTATCGATATAAAAAGAAGAAAATGTGTTAATATTTCATTCATTTGAGAAATATATTAATTCAACTATATTTGATGTAGATTCATGATTTTCAGTCAATAGATTTCAGTCAACATGGACTCCTTAGAGCACCAACTAGAAACCATTTTGCAATGGGTAGAGTGCTCCACAACCCCTACATGCTAGTTAGGGAGACCCTATTTTACTGATGGTGGAATAAGATCTTTTCACTCTACCAATAACAATAATCATTAAAAATCATAAAGTTACACTATCATGTAATATATATGCAATATATCAATTGTACAAGTAGCAAACAATCACTAGAACCCATAAATGAACAAAATAAGGGAAAAGAATGTCCGAGTATTCTAAATGTTGCTGGTTCAAATGGTTAGAGAACATACTAGTCCAAACAACTGAAAAGAACACATACCAATTGAATGTGTTGCTTCTTACTAGTCCAACATTAGGTACTATAAAACATGACTAGTCTTAATGGCTTTCCAATTGGACCTATTTTTTAGCTTAAGAGATACGTATCAATCGTACAATACACTAAATGTACTACTCCACTTAGTTCATCCTATTGAAATAAGAACAAAAACAACCCAATACACGAAACTCCTGTCACTGCAAGGTATGGGGAAGGTCAGACGTACAGCCTTACCCTGCATATGGAGAGGTTGTTTCTGTAACTCGAAACCTTGACACCTAAATCAAAATAGAGTAACCTTACTGCTACGCCAAAGCACACCCGCAACACATCTTATTTTAATTCTATGAGTAAATTGTCTCCTTAAAGTTAATCTCACTAAAGTCAAGCTATCCTAGTATATGAAGTTGATCTTATCAATCCACATATTTCTCCTTACAGTTAATCTCACTAGACTACAATGTGCATTTAGTGGCATTTGGTCCAAAGAAAATGTGAAACTACATACCACAAAGAGAGATATGCTTTGAAAACCAATTAATCTTTAAAACTATATTTCATGTAAAAGTTATTTCCAGTCTTTAGCCCAGTCCGTTTGATTTGGCACAGCACAAATCAAAAGAGTTTGACTGGATTCATAAGCATGAACAATTACCTCTCTTTTCTTTTGTAATTCATAATCACATAGATCAATCACTTGCAAATTGTTACATCTTCCAAAGACATTTCTGATAGATTCTGTGCAGAGGTTTGAGAACACACGGAGGAGAAGAAGAATAAGAACAGAAGAATCATGTTTAGAAAATGTATTTGAGATTCATGTCTCTTCAACCCCATTCGTACAGATTACAAGTATATATAGAGGACAATTTATACCTCATCATACACCTGTGTAGCTGAGGACTAGCTCAGCATTTCTTATTTCTAACTGACTGAACCTAACAGACTGCCTAACAAACTATTTAACTGCTCAATTAACTTCTAAACTATTACATGTGTTATGAATTTTACAATGCTCTCAAGCATTCATTTCCATCAATCATGCTCATGTTATATAGCAATGAAACTCTTCAAGCTAAGAAAGCAACAAGTCTCATGACAATAAGTAATAACAGCATTGAAACTTCACCATTGCAAGCCAAAATTAAAGAAGAATACACCAAAATGAGAACTAAATCAAACCCCGTTTGGTTAGCTGTAAAAGTTTATGTTTAACACAAACGGACACACTCACACACACATACATACTCACAACGTATACCTCGGGTCAAATTAAAAGGAATAAGTAGAAATAGCAGCAATCTAACCGTCAACGACTGTCTCGGAAGCTTCACACACAATGTTCCCTCTCCGGCGAAGAACTCTAGAAGTCCTTGAATTTAACGAAGCTGAGAATCGCTTTGAAGAAAATTGGATCTTTAAGCCCGATGATTTTGGGAAAGAATGGTACCGGGAGATAGCGGAGATGGATAATAATGGCACCGCTGGCGGCAGCCATGGAGGCATTCGAAGGTTAGACGAACAGCAAAAGCTGAGGAAATCAAGAGTGGCGGCCATTGAATTGGGTGGATTTGTGAGAGAGAGAGAGAGAGAGAGGGGGTCAGCTAAGGGATGGAGTGTAGAACAGCGAAGACGAAGATACCGATGAGACTGACAACCGATGATAAGGTGACAACTTGTAGCCATGGTAAAATGGGGTGGTCCCATCAAAATTTTTATTATGATACTAATTTCATTTTTTTATAGGGAAAGTATATGGTGGACCGGAAGTTACCATTTTGACGATAAAGTTATAATTCAAAAGCAAGGTACAATTGCTCCGGAAAAATTTATGATTGATCAAGGTTCATAATTAATTATAAATATGTGTGATCGATTATGAACTTTTTTTGAGCAGTTGTTGATAGGTCATACCCAAGAGCTCAGTTCAAATTATAAGTCCGGCTCGAGTTCATAGCCCAATTCTATGAGGTCCAACAAACCAAGTCTAAAGTGTTCCACGCTCAGTCAAGATCATCAAGTTCGAGGAATTACGACAGTGAAGAGTATGCAGGGTCATCCAAGAGTTTTATCCTCTTCTTCTTTGAAAGAGTCAACATTCATGTCATCATTTGACCGAATTTCATGAAAAACACCACAATTGCCTCGCCTGTTGAGAAGAGGACGTCGGCTCCAATAGACTAACCACTTAAATACTAATATCTCACCCAAATCTGTTAGGAGACGTTTATAAATTGTAAACTCCACCAACACTTGGGGGCATCATCACATTCTCACTTGAGCACAACTTTCCTCTCTCTTTTGAAACTTGTACTCTCTGCTCTCCAAGCACTCCTGAATTAATAAAGTATCAGGCGACACTAGCCATTAAGAGAGTGGACGTAGGTCACATTGACCAAACCACTATAATTCTCGTTTTCTTTCTACTTTAATTACTGCATTTATTTACTCATATTTGACAGGTGGTACACAAATCCAATTTGTGCATCATCAGTTTGACACCGTCTGTGGGAAAGACAAAACATTTCTCACTTCTAAACATTATTTTTGTTGAATTTATGGTGATCACCACCAGATCCATAAATCATCTTGAAGATAAACCACCATGAGAGAAGGAGGTTGCTCCTCTAGCAACCAATCCTGCCCCAAATGCGCAGTAGATGCTGGAGATCATGCAGCAACTTGTGGCCCAGAACTAGTAGATCTTGCAACTGATGCTCGTTGGGCAAGGAAGAGCACAACCTGGACCTCAAGTCAGAGAAGCTTCACGCTCTGGGCATTAAGGAGCTCCCCACATGGGTGTTCCTCATCTGGATGGCCCCCTTTGGAGCCCCCTTGAGCGCCCCGCACAGGGGAGCTCCCCACGAGGGACCTCCACCTCCTCCTCCAGCTCCCCCTTCTTACGGTGGAGACCCTCTTTTCCAAGAGGACGAGGGTGAGAAGTAGAGCATGGAACATGGAATTCCAAAGGAGCTCCCAACCACTAGGGACGACAAAAAAAAGAAGTGCAAAATCAATTGGGTGACATTTTCAACGCTATGAAGGCACAAGGACTCAAGACAATGGACTACCTTGTTTGGCGAACCGACACACCCTTTGTACCTGACGTGGCGAACTATACACTTCCCTAGAAGTTCAAAATGTCATTTGTTAAAATTTTTGACAGTATGAAGGACCCACTTGATCACCTCGAAACCTATAAGAGCTTAATCCAGCTGCACAGCGTTCCCGACGAAATTATGTGTTGGGCATTCTCAACTACCTTGAAGGGATTAGCGCGACAATGGTTCGTCAAACTCACCCCGGCCTCCATAGGCTCCTTCGCCGAACTGAGCAGATTCTTTGTGACATAGTTCATTGGTGAGCACCGCTAGTAGAAGCTTATCACCAATTTGCTCAGCATAAAACACGATCGAGATGAAAGTCTAAGAAGTTACCTCACTCGTTTTAATGAGGACGTCCTCCAAATTGAGGAGCCCAATGACAACGTCACCATGACCGCTTTCCTGAAAGGCCTCTGCTCATCGAGTTTCCTTTTTTGAGTAATGAAGCGACCACCAAAGAGCATGTCAGAACTATTGTTAAAAGCTCAAAAATATATGAATGCTGAGGAAATCAACAGGTTTAAGCGAGGTGAATCATCTCGCAGATTGCCAAAAGCTTGACTTGCTTCTGCACTGTTCTCAAACAGGTAGTCTATCTCCAACTTAGCAACTCTCTCGTGGGTCGCCAAAAAAACTTGGTCTCTGCACTGTTCTCAACACAGGCAGCTTATCTCCAGTTTAGCGGCTCTCTCGTGGGTCACCAAAAAGCTTGGCCTCTGCACTATTCTCAAACAAGTAGTTTATGTTCAGCTTAGCGGCTCTCTCACAGGTCGCCAAAAAATCTTGGTCTCTGCACTGTTCTCAAACAGACAGCCTATATTTCAAGCTTAAAGACTATCTCATGGGTAGCCAAAAGTTCGGTCTCAAAAAGTGTAGATCTCTCACGAGCAGTCCTTAAACTCTATATTTGCTCTCGCGCAAGCAACCTATCTCTCTCTCTCTCTCTCTCCAGGTAACTATGTTAGATATTTAATGTTTGGAATAACATTATTTTTGTCATCTCTAGCCAAACTCTTGAAACTCAGGTCATCTGCAACCCGAGGGACTACATTAAAATTGAATGTCAA